GGGGGGGGGGGGGGGGGTGGCAAGAACAGATCAGGAAGGGAAGGAGGCAGGAGAGCCAGAAGCGGTTGAGACTGGTTCTTATAAATAGCCCATTGCACCAGGGCCTCCAATTTTGACCTTTTGTTATGTAAATGTGGCCAGCCTGGGAAGGGCCTTGCCCAGGCCTCCTGCCACCACGCCTGCCCGCCTGGAATTACAGAGGAATTACGCGCCTGCTACCAGCTCCCTGACAGGCCTAGGTGGCCCCTTAGAGTACCCTAAATCTCTTGGGTGGGAGGAGGGTGCAGCCCTGGTGAGCTCTCCAGACCTGTGACCTTCCCTGCCACCAGGCCTGACTGCTGGGCACTGTGGCCTCCATCCTCTGCCTGGCTGCCCCTTATGTCCCACCCAGAGAGACCCCAGACTTTCCTGGGAATAAGGGCTCCAGGGCCACCAGGTGCCTTCTCCTTCACTGTTCCTCCTTCCCTCCCTTGCTGGTGTATATATGGGTGACCCTGTCCATCTTCTCCTCCCCAGGTGACCAGGCATTGATGCACCCCCAGGGAGGCCACGCGCTCAAGGAGGCCACCCCCGCTGGCTGCTGCTCACATGGTTTCTGGGCCCCTGGCACTACGGTAGGCTGGGGACAGGGAACTGGCAGGATGGAGGGAGGGGGAGACATGGGGGAAGGCTTTCTGGGCGGCCCACACAGCCTTGCAGTTCTCAGCCTGGTCCTTTGTGTGTATGCAGTGCTGGGGTGCATGGAGGGGAGGTTGGGGCCCACTGTTCTCAGCCTGCAGAGGAGGGGCTGCTGTGGCTCACATGCTCTTGGAGGACGGGACCTCCTGCCCTTGGCCTGCCCCTTGCCAGTCTGGGAGCACCAGGCATCCTGGGTGCTGGTGGGGCTGACACCACATTTCCCTGGTGGCTGGGTGTCCCTGCCAGTGTGGAAGCTGTGCCTTGGGCTCTTTGTCCCTAACTGGCTGGCTGAGGAGCAGGGAGTGACAGAGGGTAGGTTCTCTTGGGACCTGGGCTCTAGCCTCTGAGCCCCAGCTGAACGGTCTTGTAAGGCTGGGTTGGCTGGGTTGGCTGAGCCCATGCTTGCTGCCTCCTATCAGGCCCTGAGTGCTAGCTTGTGGCTCTGTCTACCCATGTGTGTTCATGGTGAGTTCCAAGGCCTTCTTTGGGATGTGCATGGTTATTAGAGTTTCCGTCTATCAGAGCAGGTGTGGGGTAACTGGGAGTGGGAAGTGTTTGTGTTACAGAAAGCCAGCATGGGCGTGATCCCTTCAGGCTCTGCCCTAAGGGAGGCAGAACTGGGTTGGATACACTGGTAGAAGCTGGGAGGTCCTGGGTAGGGTGAGGCTCAGAGCAGTCAGTTACTTTTGGAGACGTGAAAGCACATTTGTCAACTGCATGGCACAGAGTTGCCTGTGTGAGGGGCCAGAGGGAGCATGGAGCCACACTTTGTGCCTTGGGTCCTGCTGCTCATTTGGGTGGGTGCATGGTCAGAGCATTACTGCTCCCAGAGACCATGTGCATGCTCTTACAAAGCCCACCTGCAGGATTCTCGGGGAGGTCAGAGGTTTCTGTGTGTCTATTACTTAATGACATCAGTGACTGTACCAGGCTGACAAGGCCAGCTGGCTGCCGTTCCCAGGGCCCCAGTGGTGCCAGAGGCTTGGCCAGGCCACCTTTTCTGCCCAGCACCTAGCGACCCAGGCTGGGGTGCTCAGGGCCCTCCTGAGCTGGGAGCAGGCATTGGCAAGGGACTCTGGCTGGGCTGCAGTGTCTGAAGGCAGGAATGTGACGTTGACAAACCTGTAAGTTTGGGAAGCCACTAGGGTTGTTTGAGAGGCACTCAGGGCAGAGCAGAGGTCACAGGTGGCAGCTGCATAGGAAAAAGAACCTTTATTTGACATTGGGAGGTTTAGCCGGGCAAACTTAATTTCTAGTTTGCCCTAAAAACCAGGAAGTTATATGCCCATGTGGGAAGTGAACCTGCCTGGGAGCTTCTGCTCACTTCATTCCCCACTGCTTCCCAGTACCTCAGAGTCCCCTGCTGGTCATTTTTAAGTCCCCTGTGGGCATGTGGTCGACTTGAGTGTGGAGACGGTACCCTGGGTTATGGAACCAAATTCACATCTGATTGTCTCTGCTTAGCATCATGTGACCCTCATTGTCCTCTGTTTCTGTTTTTCTCATTGGTGCAAATGGGGCCAGTGCCAGTGTCTCTTTTTCAGGCAGCATGAGCCCTGATGGGTAGTGTGAGTTCCCTGCTTGGGTACTGTGCCAGTGAGGCCCCCTGAGCACCACTGCAACCCCACATTGTCTCCAAGCCCTTGGATGAGGCTCCCAGGTGGTTAATGCCCCATGTGTTCTTGCCCACAGGTGGTACGCGTGGGCAGGGCGAGGGGACATGGGGCCCGACATGGAGCTGCCCAGCCACTCCAAGCAGCTCTTGTTGCAGCTGAACCAGCAGAGGACAAAGGGCTTTCTGTGTGATGTCATCATCATGGTGGAGAACTCCATCTTTCGGGCCCACAAGAATGTTCTGGCTGCCAGCAGCATCTACTTCAAGTCCCTAGTCCTGCACGATAACCTCATCAACCTGGACACGGACATGGTCAGCTCCACGGTGTTCCAGCAGATCCTGGACTTCATCTACACGGGCAAGCTGCTGCCCAGCGACCAGCCAGCTGAGCCCAATTTCAGCACTCTCCTCACTGCCGCCAGCTACCTCCAGCTGCCCGAGTTGGCAGCCCTCTGCCGTCGTAAACTCAAGCGAGCCGGCAAGCCCTTTGGCTCCGGACGGGTGAGTGCCACCGGCATGGGGAGGCCTCCCCGCAGCCAGCGGCTGTCCACAGCCTCTGTCATCCAGGCACGGTATCCGGGGCTCATGGACGGACGCAAGGGGGCCCACACCCCCCAGGAGCTCCCCCAGGCCAAAGGCTCGGATGACGAGCTCTTCCTCGGAGGCTCAAGCCAGGAGGGCGTGCATGGCCTGAGCCGGGCTGTCTGTCCCACCAGTGGGGAGGCTGGCCTGGGCAGCTGCAGCACCAATGGGAGCAGTGGGGGCTGCGAGCAGGAGCTGGGCCTGGACCTGTCCAAGAAGAGCCCTCCCCTGCCCCCTGCTACCCCCGGTCCCCCTCTGACCCCGGAAGACCCGGCCCAGCTGAGTGACAGTCAGCATGGCTCGCCCCTCTCAGCCTCTGCCCCTCCTGTTGCCAACAGTGCCTCTTATGCTGAGCTGGGGGGCACCCCCAATGAGCCCATGGATCTGGAGGGGTCTGAGGATAACCACCTGAGTCTGCTGGAGGGGCCTGGTGGGCAGCCCCGGAAGAGCCTGCGGCACTCAGCCCGCAAGAAGGAATGGAGCAAGAAGGAGCCTATGGTGGGGTCCCCCTTTGAGCGGAGGGAAGCGGGGCCCAAGGGCCCTTGCCTGGGGGAAGAGGGCGAGGGGCTAGGGGACAGGGTTCCCAATGGCATCCTGGCCAGCAGCGTTGCGGGGGGTGGCCCCAGTGGGCCTTACACGGAGCCCCCGTACTCCTGCAAGGAGGAGGAGGAGAATGGCAAGGATGGAAGTGAGGACAGCGGGCAGAGTGGGAGCGAGGGGGGCAGTGGCCATGCTGGTACCCACTACATGTACCGGCAGGAGGGCTACGAGACGGTGTCCTATGGGGACAACCTGTATGTGTGCATCCCCTGCGCCAAAGGCTTCCCCAGCTCTGAGCAGCTCAATGCCCACGTGGAGACACACACAGAGGAGGAGCTGTTCATCAAGGAGGAGGGTGCTTACGAGACAGGCAGCGGTGGCGCTGAGGAGGAGGCTGAGGACCTGTCAGCGCCCAGTGCGGCCTATGCTGCTGAGCCCCGGCCCTTCAAGTGCTCCGTCTGCGAGAAGACCTACAAGGACCCTGCAACGTTGCGGCAGCACGAGAAGACACACTGGCTGACTCGGCCCTTCCCCTGCAACATCTGTGGCAAAATGTTCACCCAGCGCGGCACCATGACACGTCACATGCGGAGCCACCTGGGCCTGAAGCCCTTTGCCTGCGATGAGTGTGGCATGCGCTTCACCCGCCAGTACCGCCTCACTGAGCACATGCGCGTGCACTCGGGCGAGAAGCCCTATGAGTGCCAGCTCTGCGGAGGCAAGTTCACCCAGCAGCGCAACCTCATCAGCCACTTGCGCATGCATACTTCCCCCTCCTAGCTCCTAGAAGCCAAAGACCCTTCTCCCCGGCCCAAGGGTGCCCTCTGCAGACTCGCCCTCGGGAGCCAACGGAAGGAAGAAAGAAGCACGGAGGCCAGGCAGGAGGGGCCAGGACCCCCAGGTCCCACAGGGGTAGCTCCTGGTGGCACCTCCAGCCAGCCCCCCCCCCCCCC